GGAGGGACCAGTCACTGGAGAAGGATATCATGTTTGGTAAGGTGGAGGGTCAGAGAAAAAGAGGAAGACCCTCAGCGAGATGGATTGGCAAAGTGTCAGTGTCATTGGGCTCAAGTGTGGCAACAATCGTGAGGTTGGCCCAGGATCGGGCAGTGTTTCGTTCTGTTGTGCATAAGGTCGCTATGAATCAGTACTGGCTCAATGGCACCTAACAACAACAACAACCAACTGAAAGGAATCCTGGTAACACAGTGGGTCATGAGTTCGTCTGCTAATCTTATAAGGGTCACACTTCGAATCTATCATCCGTTACACAGGAGAACGATGAGGCTTTCTGGTCCAGTAAAGATTTACAGCCTCAGAAATACTATACAGGGTGGCTATGAGTCGGAACCAACTTGATGGAGTCCTGGTGTGACACTGTGGGTTAATGTGCCAGATTGCAAAGCCATTTGAACTGCAAGGTGGGTGGTTCAAGCTCACCAGCTGCTCCTTGGAAACCCTATACAGGGTCGCTATGGGTCGGAATCGAATCGATAGCACTTAACAACTAAAAAGTTTGCAGTTCAAACGTACTGGGTAGTCCCAAGGAAGAAAGACCTGGAGAGCTTGTTCCATAAAGATAGTAGCCAAAACTCTATGGAGCTCAGTTCTATGTTCTACTCTCTATACTGGGGGTTGTCATGAGTTGGGATCCACTAGAAAACAATGGATTTTTGTTTGTTTGTTTGTTTATTGCTTTTACAAAGAGGAGAGTTCATTTGAAAGAAAGGAAATGATTTTCCCAAGGTCACTTAGACTTAGCATGTAAGTAGCGGAACTGGGTGTGTGTGATGACTTAAAAATGAAGTGCCCCTGCTCAGGACCTCACAAATAAAAGGAGCTCCACCAGTGGTGTTTTCTTGAGTTCCTTCCCAGGATTCTGGAAATTGGGGTACAGAGTAGGGGACTGGTTCCCCCCTGCCCCGCCCTGCCCCACCCAAGGGCTGGAGCCTAGAGGCAGGCTCTTTCCACTAAGCAACTGGAAGAACTGGCCTCCAAGTCTTGCTAGGGGCTGGGAGGTCGAACAAGGGGGCATTGAGCTTGGTGGGGCCTCACAATGGCCGCTCTGTCCCAGCTGGCAGGAGGCTGGGCCCGTTTCCGACGGGGACAATAGTCAAAAGGGCAGTGACGCCGGCAGGGCCTGGAATCCCGGGCGGGATTTTCCAAGTCCTCAAAGCCTACTGTTTGTCCTCATGTGGAGACCCAGGAAGCCTGCCTCCCTGTCTCCCTCTGCCCCACCCACGCTGGGCCTTGTGCCCAGAGGCCCTGATCCCCTCCTCAGCCCTGAGGTGCCACTGTGACGGGGAGGGGTGGCTGTGGGGTCTAAGTTCTCTATCTTAGGGGCTGTGCCCCAAGGAGTTATACTTCCTGGGGGCCTTGGTTATGAAAGGAGATGGTGAAGGCCAGGCTTGAGGAGGCTGAGAAGCTTCCCTGGGTCCTGAGCAGCCACTCTGTCCTCGCACTGTACTATGTCATAGGGTTGGCAGCCCTGCTGTGTGGGCTGCCAAGGTGAGCCTGGGATTGAGCTTGTCAGAGGTAAAGCTCTGTCAGTCAGTAGGTTGCTAAGGACAGACAGCTGTTGGCAGCCCTGAGACCTGTCAGAATTGTGTCCTGAC